TTTCATCCCTTTTTACTTTATTAATCCTTATTCATCTCTCAAAATCCAGTTCAGGTGTCACTTCCTGCATCTTCCAGGATGGATTAGTAATCCATTTTGTTGTACATTTCTATTAGGGTAATTAGCACATTAAATCAGTTCGTATTTATCTTCATGACTAGACTACATCCCTTGAGGGCAAGGACTGTGTCTTATTTACGACTGTCTTCCCAGTACCTTAGCACAGTGTCTGTTCAATATGTGGCAGCATTTCAATTACATACGTATAAAGCTGAGCAGGACTGTACATACAGAATATAGTATTTACTTTATTCTGTTACTTGATTAAGACAGAAAAATACAGAAGTGCTATATTATCAGAAAATAAAAGTTACAAAGAGAATATTAACATGTGGAAAATAGCTTACAGTAAACTTACCTCCACATTCTTCTATAAGATTGGCTATGGTTTCTGCCTCATCTTCAGCCATTTTTAATATATTACTTAGGCCATCGAGTACTACCTGAACAACTTGTGCATCTTTTACAGTTAGCAAGTTGCAAAAAGGTGGAATAACATTTTGCTGGATTAGGTAGGCCACCTGAAGAATAAAAACACCATGATATAATAAACATAAGTGAACTTCATTTGCGTACCGTATTCTCTCACTGGATTAATTCTGACTTTACATTTCTGATTTGGGAACATGACCTCATATCTCACATGTTACATTGTTATTTCCATATATTATATTTATATTGTGCTTTGTATTCATATTTAAGTGGATTCATTGCTCATCATCAGTCTATACAGCATATTTGTGACAATTATCAGTTTACTGTTTATCAGTTTCAAATTCACCCTTTCTATCTATCTATGAAACACATCTGCGACATTTAAAACTCATTTTCTTTGGCCAGTTGGTACAATGTTAAGCTTTGTCACTCACCACTATGAGTGAGCATATCTTTAAATTTTATGAGCTAGGCACCATGTACTTCTCACCCTAGTTTCCAGTCTCAGCCTTTTCTACTGGGTCTAGTTTATTGTTTGGCTTGGTGCTGGTCAATTTTTATTGTTGCTTCTCTTTTTTTTTATTGTAGTTGTTCATTTGTTAGGAGAATTTGTGAGGCAGTTTCATTCTGCTCTATTAACCTAAAGGTCCTGTTTTTTATTAATACTGTTAGAAAACAAAAAAACCAACCCTGACTATTAAGTGCTTTGAACTTATTACCATGGATTAAAAAATTATTGTAGGCCAAGAAATTGGAAAGAGAACACTTCTCATCTATGAAATGTAAACTAAAGGAAAGTGACACTTTCATATAAAAAAAGGTAACAGAATAGAATGTTATCTTGCTATTATTTTAAATATGCTTAAATCTTACACTTCTCTGTATTGTTATTTTACCATTTTTGAGAACAGCTTAACTTACTTGATCTTTCCTTCCACTAATTGTTAAGTTACTTATAGCCCAAGCAGCTTCTTTCTGAGTGCCAAAATCCCCCTGTAAAAGCAAAAGCAAAGGATATAAATTTTAATATAGGGTAATTTAGAAAAAGTGTTTTTTGAAATGGTTTTCCACCTGGTCATTTCCCCAGGTTTTCTTCTAGCCTTTCTATATGCATAGATAGCTTTTACTTATTAAAATAAGCCTTTGAATCCAATTTACTCTAAACAAATGGAAACTCCTTTTTGTGAACTCCCCTTGCAAAAAACTGACTTGATGTTACAGTCTAGTAATATCAGATTAAGCATCTTCACTTTAATCAAAGAAATGTCAGGTTAAAAATAAATTATCCTCTTAAACATACAGTAAAGTCCTAAAAATGATAATGTCCATCATTAGTGAGACTATGATAAAGACACAGGAACCAATACACCCTGAAGAGACAGTTAATTCCAGGTCTAGGTCAAAAAATACGAGATAAAATCTGGGAATGTTATACCCCTAAAGGTAGGAAGTTCTAAAAAAGCAACTGCAGTGTAAAAAAGACACAGGCACCAAATTTAAGAAATTCCCAATGGTCACGGACAATTTGAGTGTCAGAAAGAGTAACTACAATGGAATAAAATTTACAACATAACATAAAGATCCACAATTTCTTAATGACACTAAAAATTCCTCCCTATTCTCCTTTTCAGGTTGTTAGGGAACCACATAATGCTAAAAACTGAGTGATAATGAAGAATCAAGAATTTACCTTGCCTTTCCTATATGAAATATATTTCAGAGTAAACCAATAGCTGATAAGGAAAGCTCTTTGAAGAATTATAGCTAAAAAAAAAATGACAGGAAGTGACTATTTTATAGTTCCTAGTAAAATAAGGGATCCAGGTAATGAGCATCAATGACTGCCTAAAAACCATTAGGTAAAAACCGATGACTAACTTTATAATAATCAGCTGGAGTAGGATGCGAACACCTGAGCTCACTCATCAATCTTATTACCACTAGATATAGGACAAGCAGTATGTGTTGCCTGAGGTGAATCTTCAGAAATTATAGAGTGCTGCATTAAGTATTATTGCTAAAAAACTGAATCCAATTTATCAGTTATAGGAAACAAGCCTCTATTACCAGTTTGTAGGAAACAATGGATATAATAAAGATAAGAGGTATCTTCTTTTTAACTATAGATCAGTGTTAAGAAAAAAACCCTCATGCTGTGATTGTGATATTTTAAAATGTCTCTTGCCCAAACACTAATGTAAGCATGAGAGATGGTACAGCATACGGTTAGACAGCACACGTGACTTGCTCTTTTTTCGTGGGCAATTTGTCTACACAATAGTTTCTTCATCTGTCAAATGGGGATAATTTTTAACCCCCCAGAGTTACAGTATTAAATGAGGTAATATATGTAAGCATTTATGACCTGTAGTAATAATATGAATTTTTAACAAATCCCAGAATAATAATAGTAATTTTGATCAAAGAATGATACAAAAGTCCAGGAGTTCCTAAAAAGAAATATCTATTGTATATAAAAACTACTTTATGTATTTTAGATGTAAGTTCCTTTTCAGATATATGATTTACAAATATTCTCTTCCATTCTGTGGGTTTCACAAGTTTTAATATTAATACTATTATACTATAGTATTCACGCCACTGTATACATTCTAATTAAATAAACAGAAGTATATATATTCACATTTTGTTAAATTTAAATCCCTTTCGTCTTACACATAAGATGATTTTCTTACCTTATCCAAAAGGTGTATTATCATTGTAACTTTATAATAATCAGCTGGAGTAGGATGCGAACACCTGAGCTCACTCATCAATCTTATTACCACTAGATATAGGACAAGCAGTATGTGTTGCCTGAGGTGAATCTTCAGAAATTATAGAGTGCTGCATTAAGTATTATTGCTAAAAAACTGAATCCAATTTATCAGTTATAGGAAACAAGCCTCTATTACCAGTTTGTAGGAAACAATGGATATAATAAAGATAAGAGGTATCTTCTTTTTAACTATAGATCAGTGTTAAGAAAAAAACCCTCATGCTGTGATTGTGATATTTTAAAATGTCTCTTGCCCAAACACTAATGTAAGCATGAGAGATGGTACAGCATACGGTTAGACAGCACACGTGACTTGCTCTTTTTTCGTGGGCAATTTGTCTACACAATAGTTTCTTCATCTGTCAAATGGGGATAATTTTTAACCCCCCAGAGTTACAGTATTAAATGAGGTAATATATGTAAGCATTTATGACCTGTAGTAATAATATGAATTTTTAACAAATCCCAGAATAATAATAGTAATTTTGATCAAAGAATGATACAAAAGTCCAGGAGTTCCTAAAAAGAAATATCTATTGTATATAAAAACTACTTTATGTATTTTAGATGTAAGTTCCTTTTCAGATATATGATTTACAAATATTCTCTTCCATTCTGTGGGTTTCACAAGTTTTAATATTAATACTATTATACTATAGTATTCACGCCACTGTATACATTCTAATTAAATAAACAGAAGTATATATATTCACATTTTGTTAAATTTAAATCCCTTTCGTCTTACACATAAGATGATTTTCTTACCTTATCCAAAAGGTGTATTATCATTGGTACAAGATTGGCATCAATTACTGCCTGAACCTGTTGCTGATTTCCTGCAGTGATATTAGAGAGGAACCACACCGCTTCCTGTAGAACAAGATCTCTTCAATATTTTTCAATAAAAAATAAAATATGTATCTGAACTAAGAAAAAACACACTACAATATCCAAATTATTTTGCTATGGAATGAGTTCCACGATAAAAATTTTAGGAAGCTCAACATCACTTTTCCCTTTCTATGTATTTTTTTTTGGGCAAATTGAGAATGGCCCTAATTGAAGTCATAACAAACTAAGCCTTCTAAAGAATTCTTGAAAGCATTGTTGCCAAACACTGAGACTCAAAAATAGAGTCACTAAACAAATACCAAGGAATGGATGAGCTGTAATACAAATTCTAAAATTCTTGTAAATGAGATTCAGCATCTGTCTCACATAATGTGCTTCATTCTTTATTCTATTCTGATCAACAGTCCTAGCCTAAATAGATAAATATTAATTACCCATGATAATGGAGACATGAAAAATGAAACAGTGGGTAGTTTTAGTAGACTTATTTGTAACCATCATTCATTGCACCATTTCTCTGAAGAGCTCAAGCAGAACCTGATGTTTTACTGCCTATTTAATTGCTCTGCTGGTCCACATAATGATCTTTCTATGCTACCCTTTACACCATAATGGTGCTACTTTTGCCATGGTGGTGGCAGTCCCACGTGTTTTACAAGTTTCACAGATAATAAACGCATAATAAAAGCACAAAGTTAGGATTAAACAGGAAAAATTATCTACCTAATATCCTATGTAAGATATTACTATAATTTACCAAACTTACTAAATTTATTAAGTTAACTATTTACTAAAGGAAATATTTTATTTTTCAAAAAACTCACAAATTTTACTCCAAAAATGATTATTATTACCGAGTGTGTAATAGGCTCTTTTGGATCAGATCACAGGAACATTTTTAATGAACCTGTTAGAGATTTTAGGGTGTTAGGCTACTCAGGTGAGCTGTTCTTGGGTTATAATCATTGGCAATGTTGTAATCAACAACCCATGTATTTCTACAACAGCCTCAGATGCACTCCAGTATCAGCATCACCAGTCAGCGCCCCCTTTCCATAGCCTCCATGAGCACGCGCACACACACACACACACACACTTTATTAAGTTTCTATGAAATATTAAACTTACTTAACCTACATATTAAAATTCTCCAATCATACAACATTCAACACCCAATTATCTCTATTTCATCATTTCCAAGAGAGCCAAATTCAGTTTACAATTGGTTTTATATATGGAAAATCATATACTAATCCATGTCATAAAAAGTGCAATGTTTTATCTTTTCTTGATGTTGAGTTATTAGTAATCAATATTATAGAGACTTCTGAGTCCCTGGTTTTACAAATGAAAGCTGCTGATACTTTATATGCTATTTTTAAGCAGTATTTTAAAATACTTACTTTATTAATTTTCTCTTTGGGATGTGTCAGAAGTGCTGGGAAGTGGGAAAGAGCATCACAGTTCAGAACTACCTGTGTTTGCTCATCAGTTCCAGTAACAATGTTGCCCACAGCTCGAAGTGCAGCAGTCTGAAACAAAAAGATTCAATGAGATGTTGTTCTGTGTAAAATATTGGTATTACCACAAAGATATGTTAGGCAGGTTACCGATGGTACTTTAATTTGTTCAAGTCAACCTACCCTTTTTGAGCAAGTTGTGTCAGACACTGATTTAAGAACAGAGGAGTTAACAGGACAGACACAAACCCCAGCTCTTTTTACATTATTGTAGAAGATAGTCAATAACCAAACACAAAAGGACAGTTTTATATAGTACTTAGGACCATAAAGAAAATAAGAGTACTTTAGATTTTTGATTCAATGTTTCAATGGATTAAAAACACAGTGCCTTTCTGAAAAGCTGGAACCTGTTTAACATATGAGATTTAACCATCATGTGAATTTGAATTATTGATTATTTTCTATAGTTGTATTAGGTCATTTTCTGTCAAGCTGAATTTCTTCCTTTTCTGGCTAATTTTTCCTTCTACAAGACAAATGAACCTGTTTGTTTTGCTTTTTTTAAAATTGAGATATAATTCATGAAGCATAAAATTCACCCTTACAAAATGTACACTTCAGTGGTTCTTGTATATTCAAAGTTGCACAGCCATAACCAGTAACTCTAAAGCATCTTAAACCCCAAAACAGAGTATCTGTACCCATTAACAATGACTCTCATTGCCCTTACCCCCCAAGTTCCTGGGGTTAACTTGGAAACTGTGCCTGTTTCCATGAATTTGCCTATTTCAGAATTTCATATAACTGGTATCAAACAGTAGGTGGTCTTATGGTCTGGCTTCTTTCACTTAGTGCTTTCAAGGTTAATCCATGTTGTGAAGTATGCACAGATATTTCAATATTCATATTAGTACTTCATTCCTCTTCACTGCCAAATAACATTCCACTTTATGTTTATACCAGATTTCATGTAACCATTCATTGGTTGATGGGCATTTAGATTGCTTCTACATTTTGGCTATTTTAAATAATAATGCCATAAACATTTGTGTACAGATTTTTGTGTGAACATGTGTTTTCAGTTCTCTTGGGTGTTTACCTGGGGCTGGAACTGCTGGGTCATGAGGATTACACTTTCTCTAAATCCTTGTCAACACTTGTTAATGTCTTTTTGATTACAGTCATCCTGAAGGGTATGGAGTGGTATTTCACTGTGGCTCTGATGTGCATTTCCTTCATGACTAGCAATACTGACCATTTTCTCACGTGCTATTTGTATGTGTTTACTGGAGAACTGCATTTGAATCTTTTGTCCATTTTTCAATTGGGTTGTAAGGTTCTTTATGTATTTTGGATATAAGTCCCTTTTCAGATATGTCATTTACAAATACTCTCTTCCATTCTGTGGGTTGCTTTTTCACTTTCTTGATGATAACCTTGGAAACACAAGTTTTTACTTTTGGTGGAGTCCAATTTATCTTTTTCCCTTGGTTCTTGTGCTTGTGGTGTCTTACTTTAGAAAAACTAATGCCTATTCCAAGGTGATGAAGATTTCTGCCTGTTTTCTTCTAAGAGATTTATAACTTTGGGTTTTACATTTAGATGTTTAATCCACTTTGAGTTAACTTATTTATGGTGTGAAGTAGGGGTCCAGTTTCATATGGCTGCCCAGTAGTCTCAGCACCACCATTTGTTGAAAAGACTGTTTTTTTGTTCACTGAATTTTCTTGGCACCCTTGTTGAAAAGCAGTTGATAATAAATTTATGGGTTTATTTCCAGACTCTTGATTCTATTTCATTCATCTATATGTCCATCCTTATGCCAGTAACACAATAGACTTGTTTACTCTTAGCTTTCTTTTTGTTAAGTTTTGAAAGTGAGAAGCCTCCCAAGTTTGTTCTTTTTCAAGATTGTTTTGGTTATTTCTGGGCCTTTTGTATTTTCATATGGGTTTTAAGATTAACCTGTTAGTTTCTACAAAAAAGGCATATAGGATTTTAAAAGAAATTGCATTTAATCTCTACATAAATTTGGGGATGACTGCCATCCTAAATCTTCCAACCCACAAACATGGGTATATTTCATTTATTTAGGACTTCTTTAATTTTTTTCAATGTTTTGTAGTGACCCAACTTCTTTAACAAATAAAAGGGGAAAGAAAAAAAAGCTGTAGAGTAACAGAAACATGAAGACACAGCTACCAAATGAAATGTTGTGACCTCATTTTAATATAGATTTAGTTGGTCAAACTGAAAAAAATATGATACAATCAGTAAAATTTGGATATTGACTGGATTAATGTTACAGTTAAACATGATTTAATGGTACTGTGGTTATGTTAAAAATAGTTTTACTTTTAAAGACATACAAGCTGAATGAAATTACATGGTATCTGGGATTTGTGCCAAAATAATTTGGCTAGGGGGGAGAGAAGTAGGGTTACAGAAGAAACCACATGGAGGTTCACTATGTCAGTCTATTTTCCTAAATTATGGCATGAAAGTTGAAATAGTTTTAAAAAACCTCTACTAGTTATCAAGCAGAATACAGAGAATCAATTTTCCTTGAAAGCTAGGTAAAGAAAAATTCCAAGCCCTATTTTCTCAATGAAGTTCAGTATTAAAACTGAAGATGCATTCTGAAAAAACAAAATAAAAAAAACCAAATCCCTATACCAAGACCTAAGTACCACACTTAATGCAAACTTAATGATAAATATGTAGTAAGAATATCTGAAAAAAGCCACAAATCCCCTAAGCAACAAACTATTCTATTCATTAATTCTTTCTGAATTTAGCTAAGTGTTCCCTCTTTCTTTAAAGAGCTTTAAATTTTAAGGTAATGGGTCTCCACTCTGACTTTACATGATTATCACCTGAAGAGTTTTTTTTTATAGCCCAGATTTTAGTATTAATATCCCAGATTACTGCATGACAATCTCCAAGGGTTGAGAAGGGAAATAAAAAAGTTTTTTCCCCTTTAAGCTTCTCAGTTGATTTTAACATTCAGCTAGGGTTGAGAAACAGTGAATTACGTTAATGGTTCTCCTCATGCTATGATTGTACTTTATAGACTTTAAGTTATTATAAGGTTAAAGAACACTATTTACCTCAGAAGGGTAGGGAGAGCTTGCTGTATCTCCCTTTACCACTGTAGTTTGACAGTTACAGCTTAAAATATTTGTATGAACTTGTTCTTTCTAGATGCAGGCTCTCTGATATAAATATTGCATGGAAGGATTTAAAAATAATAAAGGAATAAAAATTAGAGAAAAAGATTATAGATAGCTGAAAGGAAGCCATTTAGGAAACCCCTAAGCAGCCTATTTTAATAAAGACAGTACAGTGCCTTTATTTCAGTACAATACAGTGCCAGTGGAACAAGCAGTAACTAATAAACTTGCCTGATGCAGTGGAGGAGAGTAAAAAATGATGGCTGTGGGGATGAAAAGAGTAGGAAGAAAAAAGACTATGAAGAGTTAAGAAATTTTATTGATAAAGAAGTTTCAATACTTACTTCAGATTCTACCCAAGTTGCTACATGAATTGCTCTGGTCTATTTTAGAAATCAGTAACTTAAAAATCTCATCAAAGATATGATGTTGGTAGGCTAAAAATATACTTTGAACTACTGAAATTACCTATTTTTGAACACATTGGGTAAGAATCTAATCTCGCCCACTGTATACATGCAATGAGGTAATACTTAGCCTGCTGCACAGGTGCCTACTTGCATACCCATTGGCGGTAAGCAGTGTTATTTACAGCTGATAGTGCTTTAAGAAGAGTTCTGCTCAGGGCTAGGAGCAGAGCCAGAAGAGAAGCAGAGAGCCAAGAGAGAAGGGCAGAAGGAAGCCACAAAGGCCTTGCTAGGAAGAGAGAAGAGAGTCTGGAGAAGAGGGAAGTAGGAAGGAGCAGAGACGGAGCCACAAGCAGAGGCAGCGCTTGGGGAGCAGGGGCTGGAGCTGGGGCCAGAGTTGGAGACAGTCCTGCCCCTTATAGACAGCCAGGTGTGAGAATGAAGCTTGGTACGAGCCCCTTTTTACCCACAATGTTCTGTTGTTATTTGGTCTCACTAAATTCACAGAGAATTTGCCTAGAGGAGGGAGCCCCTCCTTCCAGAGCCACAGCATGCTTAAAGCAATCAGTGGTTAAGAAAAACTTGTTCTTATCAATAACAAACTCACCTGAACTTTAACTTCCTGGTGGCTGAGGAGAGGAACCAAATGAGGGACTATCCCAGAGTCTATTACCATCTGTATCTGTTCATTGCCAGCATCCGTAAGGTAAGAGAGGGCCCAGACCGTATCTACCAGTATCTGACAAATAAAATGAAAATTCAAGTAGCCTTTTAATATTTTCTCATTTTAATAATTATTAACCATAATAAATATGATGGTCTTACTACCTTCTTTCTTCCTTTCTTCTCTCACCTCAATTCACTGAAATCTTAATCTATTTTATTATACTAAATATCATCATCTATAAGTGTTTGTATCAAGTATATGTATCTTTTAGCCATATTCAGGATGTTCAGCTTAATTGAGATCCCACTCATAGATTAGTATCCAATCTTAATTTTACTAAGATACAAACATACTATATAGCACATGAAATAGGGAAAACGCATTCTTTTCAAATGCTCAGACTGAGGGATAATAGGTCCAAGGACATTGTGGTAGATGTATATACAGTTGGAAATTCTACATTTATCCAACATATACAGTGGTTTAAAA